AGATGAGAGAGAGAGAGGCGGCGAGAATTAGGGTTATTCGCCGGAATCGCCGAGGTAGAGATATTTTTTCCTGTACGTGAACAACTACAAAAAAAAACACAACTCAGCCGTAACTTACAATAAGTCATAATATAACTCAGCCGTAATATACCATAACTCAGCCGCAATGTGTCATAACTCAGCCGTAAACGACGTTTCGTATTTCCCTGTTTTTTTGTCGGAAAATGAAAAGTCTCCACCCAAGTTGAGAAGAAATGCGACAGCAATGACGACGAGAAAGAGAGAGACACACCGATTATATGATAAGCGGCAGAAGAGACGAGAAAGATAAGCAGCGAGAGTTAGGGTTCTTCCTCGGCTTTGAGAGAGAAAGAACAGTTTTATTTCTTATTCTTTTTAGTCTTCTGCCTTTTCCTTGGCCTATTTCGATCTGACATAGACACCTTTTTTGCAATAAATGAAACAAAACCCAAGAATGGTATATGAGATTTCGATATAGTGGCAAAATAACAAGACAGTAATGAGATTACGAGATAGTGCAACTCTGACCATGAACAGAACCACATGTGAGGACCAAGAAATCTTTTCTTTTCTTAGAACATTGGATGTACGCAATTTGAGAAGAAATACGATAGGAATGCGACATGAGAGAGACTCGTTGAGAATCGAAGCGGCCAAAAGAGATGAGAGAGAGAAAAGCGGCGAGAATTAGGGTTATTCGCCGTAATCACCGAGGTAGAAATATTTTTTCATGTGTGTGAAAAATTACAAAAAAAACCACAACTCAGCCGTAACTTACAATAATTCATAATATAACTCAGCCGTAATGTACCATAACTCAGCTGCAATGTGTCATAACTCAGCCGTAATGTACCATAACTCAGCCGTAAACGACGTTTTGTATTTCCTTGTTATTTTTGTCAGAAAACGAAAAGTCTCCATCCAAGTTGAGAAGAAATACGACAACAATAACGACGAGAAAGAGAGAGACACACTGATAATAGGATAAGCGGCCGGAAGAAACGAGAAAGAAAAGCGGCGAGAGTTAGGGTTCTTCGTTGGCTTCGAGAGAGAAAAAACAGTTTTTTTTGTTTGTGAATAGTGACGAAAATGTTCAGTTTCTTACTCTTTTATCATTAAAGACAGAATAATGTTGTGGCAAGTTCAGGTATGACGTGGCATGTCGAATCTGACGTGGTAATTTTTAAGTGAAAACAGACCAAGGATGTTTATTGTAATTGCACCCATCTCACTAAACATCTAAAGAATAAAAAAATTGTGGATGTTTAAGGAATAAACCTACTTTTATGGTCTATCTAAGTAATTCTCCCAATTTTATATTATACTTTATTGATAGAAAAAGTGTAAGACATACCACATCGGTTAAATATTTTAGAAAATAGTTTTATATTATTATAAACATGACTAATATGCTTTTAACTATGAATGAGCATGAAGTTTAACTTATATATTCAAAAATTATAAAAGTTATATATAAGAAAATATGACTAATATGCTTATACTAGATTTTTAAGTTAAACATGACTAATATGCTTTTATTTTTTTCCGCACTGTACGCGGGTCCGACTCTAGATATATTATAGTTACGTAAATATATGCAATCAAATTTAATATGAAAAGAAAAATTTATGTGAATTAAATTGGACCTATCAAAGATCCTACTGAATAAACCGGGTTAAAAACTTCAATTGACCGGACTCATAAAACTTTTGTACTTCTCTTTTAATATATAGGGGATATAAATACAAACTTCATGAATATTACTTACCAAAAAACAGATAATAGAAGTGTTGCAAATATTACACACAATTAGTAACGTTGTACAAGTGATTAAAGGTTTTTATACAAGTGTACAAAACCGCAGGCCTCTTAGCTTAGATACGACCAGTTGTAACCATGTTTTACTCGACTGTAAAAGGCCTGCGGTTTTGGTTTAATTTTGGTTAGCTTAGAAAACCAACAATAATTTTTTTTTTTGTTAAGATGAGATTGGTCTACAATAAACCAACAATAATCCAGCTCGATGTGTAAATCAGTTTCGAACTTTAGTTCTATAGAGAAATAAGTTTCGAACTTTAGATTTATGGAAAAATAATTATGGAACATTTTTTTTTTACGGAGATACAAAGAGAGGCAGAAAGTTTGGGTGGAACTAGTCATATACAAAATTTCCGAGGAGAAAATAAATCGTCGTTCCTTTTTTTTTTTTTTTTTTTAACCATGTTTTACTCGATTGTAAAAGAAGAAGCTCAAATTGAAACATACACTAAACAGTAAACACAACAAAACACAACACGAAAGCCCAACATTTGTAAACGAACCTAAACTGTCTGAAACAGGCCCAATAAGCAATTCTCTTTAAATTTTTGAGACACTTCCGTATCCGCTAGTATCACGACTGGATATGTGATAACACACGTAGACGAACCTCAAGCAATCACTTGAACCTTTGCTTATATGACTTCTCTTTAATCCTCTTCCAAAAAAATCCCAAATCGAAGAGAAGAATCAAAACTTCTCTTCCTTTAAATTCAAAGATCCTTACATTTTTCACCTTCTTCCTTCAAAAATCGAACCTTTATTCACCAAATCATCCTAGTTTCTTCAGAGAGCTTCAATGGCGACCACATCTTCAAACCCATTACTCCTTTCTTCAAATTTCCTCGGTTCTCGAATCATAATCTCAGCTCCAACACCCAAAACCACCAAAAAGTCTCTTCCTTTCTCAGTCATCTCTCGAAGAAGATGTCAAATTTCTCAATCGGAGAAGCTGATGAAGTCGTTGCCATCACAAGCTGCGTTAGCTGCTCTGTTGTTCTCATCTGCGTCTCCACAAGCTTTAGCTGTTAACGAGCCGGTTCAGCCACAAGCGCCAGTACCAGCACCGACCATGACTGTTGAAGCTCAGGCTACAAGTCCGAATCTTTCGTTTGGTCAGAACGTTTTGATGACAGCACCGAACCCACAAGCTCAATCATCTGATCTTCCTGATGGAACTCAGTGGCGATACAGTGAGTTTCTGAATGCTGTGAAGAAAGGTAAAGTTGAGAGAGTGAAGTTTAGTAAAGATGGCTCTGTTCTTCAGCTTACAGCTGTTGATAACAGACGTGCTTCTGTGATTGTTCCTAATGATCCTGATTTGATTGATATCTTGGCTATGAATGGAGTTGATATATCGGTTTCAGAAGGAGAATCTGGAAATGGTTTGTTTGATTTCATTGGGAATTTGCTTTTTCCTTTGTTGGCTTTTGGAGGATTGTTTTATCTCTTCAGGGGAGGTCAGGGAGGTGCTGGTGGACCTGGAGGTTTAGGTGGTCCAATGGATTTTGGGAGATCGAAGTCTAAGTTTCAGGAAGTGCCAGAAACTGGGGTAACATTTGGAGATGTTGCTGGAGCTGATCAAGCTAAGCTTGAGTTACAAGAAGTTGTTGATTTCTTGAAGAATCCTGATAAGTATACAGCTTTAGGTGCTAAGATTCCTAAAGGGTGTTTGTTGGTTGGTCCACCGGGTACGGGGAAGACGCTTTTGGCTAGAGCTGTGGCTGGAGAAGCTGGAGTGCCGTTCTTTTCTTGTGCTGCTTCGGAGTTTGTTGAGCTTTTTGTTGGTGTGGGTGCGTCTAGAGTTAGGGATTTGTTTGAGAAGGCGAAGTCGAAAGCTCCTTGCATTGTGTTTATTGATGAGATTGATGCTGTTGGTAGGCAAAGAGGAGCTGGGATGGGAGGTGGAAATGATGAGAGGGAACAGACGATTAATCAGCTTTTGACTGAGATGGATGGATTTTCTGGTAATTCTGGTGTCATTGTGTTGGCTGCAACCAATAGACCTGATGTTCTTGACTCCGCATTGTTGAGACCTGGTAGATTTGACAGACAAGTCACAGTAGATAGGCCTGATGTAGCTGGAAGAGTCAAGATCCTTCAGGTTTTCTCTTGTTTCTCATGTTTGGTTGAGTGAAACAATGGGGACAATGTGAGAAATAATGTTGTACGGTTTATTGCAGGTGCATTCTCGAGGGAAGGCTATTGGAAAGGATGTGGATTACGAGAAGGTTGCTAGGAGAACTCCGGGTTTTACTGGAGCGGATTTGCAGAACCTGATGAATGAGGCTGCAATTCTTGCTGCTAGACGTGAGCTAAAGGAGATAAGCAAGGATGAAATATCTGATGCTCTTGAGAGGATCATTGCTGGCCCTGAGAAGAAGAATGCCGTTGTCTCGGAGGAGAAGAAAAGACTTGTTGCTTATCATGGTTAGATACCACTTCTCCAAGAGTTTTTGTATCCTGGTTTTCTTTTGTGTGTTGGCTACTCACTTTCTTAACCAAATTGGAATTTGCAGAGGCTGGGCATGCTTTAGTTGGTGCACTTATGCCGGAGTATGATCCAGTAGCCAAGATATCGATTATTCCCCGTGGCCAAGCTGGTGGTCTCACCTTTTTCGCCCCTAGCGAAGAGAGACTTGAGTCTGGATTGTATAGCAGAAGTTACCTTGAGAACCAAATGGCTGTTGCACTTGGTGGAAGGTTAGTTTACAACTGAAACTTGGCGTGTTTTTGATTAACAAGAATAGACTCCACAAATGTTAAACTAATCTTTATTACTGTATGTTTTGGCTATGGTAGGGTTGCAGAGGAGGTGATCTTTGGAACCGAGAATGTTACAACCGGAGCATCAAATGATTTCATGCAAGTGTCGCGAGTGGCTCGCCAAATGGTTGAGAGATTCGGGTTCAGCAAAAAGATTGGACAAGTTGCAGTTGGTGGAGCAGGAGGAAACCCTTTCTTGGGCCAAAGTGTATGTATCTTAACTCAGTACTCACATATAGCTTTTGATGTTTCCAGCTCTCAAGACATGTCTTGGTTTCTTTTTTTTTTTCTGCAGATGTCTTCGCAGAAGGATTACTCAATGGCAACAGCGGATGTAGTTGATGCGGAAGTGAGAGAGTTGGTGGAGAAGGCATACGCAAGGGCAACAGAGATCATAACAACACAAATTGATATCTTACACAAGCTTGCACAACTCCTGATGGAAAAAGAAACTGTGGATGGAGAAGAGTTCATGAGTCTTTTCATTGATGGGCAAGCTGAGTTGTATGTTTCTTAAGTCAACAACATTGGTTTGTAATGATACAAATTAGCTTCAATCATCTATACATACTGTATGTTAATATACATTGACTTGTTCAGAGACGTTTCTTTCTCTTAGTCTTTACACTCACCTCGATTGGTTAGGCCAAGACCACTTGGTTGTTGATCCGTGGGGACACGAGTTTTTTTTCCCATCTCAAGATTCATATCAAAGTATTAAAAACATTAGCCTAGTTAACGTGTTCATGTTCTGACCATAGCACGTGTTGAGGTATGTAAACGTGTCCGGAAGTCACTTTTAATACAAATAAACCAACCACTGTGTTAACATCAAGACAAAAGTGAAAATGGAGGAAGAAAAACAAAAGAAAGAAGGAAGAGATAAGTATGAGCCACAGGAGCAGCATCAACCACCGTATATCTCGCAGATGCAGCCGGTGACGCACGAGGCTTACGGAGGTGGCCTTTACGGTAAGGACGATGAGAAAGAGGTTACAGATAGAGAGAAAGAGCCACTGCAACATAAACCACCGGCCAGTGAGACACAGAGCGCAGATGGGCCTGATGAGGTAAAGACGTTGACGCCGAAACATAAGCAACCAGCTTCGTCCGGCGATAGAGACGTTGACATCACTGGCCAGTCTTACATTCAGTGAAGTAGTTCTAGTTTTTCCTTGTGTTGTAATGTTCTTACTAGTTTCTTTAATGGTCTTTTACTTGATGATTTACATCTAAGCAAAACGGACAAGACATAGGCGTATTCAGAAGATGATAGTTATTTGGAGAAAGAGAACATACATACAAGTATACAACCAACCAATAGACTTTTATAACCAGCTTTAAAGACTATAGACTAAACTTGTACAAGTAGTAAATCCGACAAGGCTTTTAAAACCATTGACAGTCAGTGTTATTATTACCACACATTTGAAGTTATCAAGTTTTACAACATAATGTCTTTTTTAGATGCGACATGGTTTAGATGAGTTTATGTAGGTGTCCAAATCAACAACACTCCTTCAGCTAAGCTTTCTTCCATCAGCCTGAACCAAACAAAATAATGATTAAGCCTCGTAAAGTAATAGAATCAAAATCATTACAACGATGCAATAACAAGCTTTGAACATAAACGTTTCAAAGGTTCATTTGACAAACTACTTAGTTCAGCTATCAATCAATGTTTCAGTGGAGAGACCATGTAGTGTATGAATGAGAGTAAAAAGTGGTTCATGTCAATCTAAGACCTTCTGATTACACAAAAGATAAGAAAATAGAAGAACAATGACCATAGAGAATCTTTTCAATCACTCTAATTCATTGAGAACAAAGCTTCCTAGTTTTAGTGGACCAACTTACTTCTTTGTACTAAAGGAGCCACCTAACTATAACTATCTATGCCTTGGATGTTCAAAAGCAATATCAATAAAAACTTCCAATTAAGATTTTGCACTCTGCTCCTGACTAACTAAATTATAACTTTAGCTAATTGAGGCTTCTCAAAACTTAAGAGACAAACAGCAGACAGAGTTGTCTGAATCATATGATGCAAAAGCATAAGAATGCAAAGAGTAAACATCGAATAGAGACCTGACAGTTTCAATTATTCTAATTTGTGAAGTACCAATTTTATTCTTTATAGGAGCCAACACAGAACTATCTCTGCTTTGGATGATATAGAACAAAATCAAAACCCTTGAGTAGGGTCAGGTTTTTATAACAATAGCTTTTGACTGTTCAAACTTCAAACCAAAGCATTAGAATTCTACTTTTCACAGTTCTGCATCTAACTACAACCTCTGAATTTGATGTTCGAAGACAATATCGATTAAAAACTTCCAATTAAATTTGTCTAAATTCAACTAACGCATAGGCTTCTCTAAATTTAGAGACATACAGCAAAAAGAGTTGATTGAATCTTATGATACAAAGACGAAAGAATGGGAAGAGTAATCATCGAATACGAAACTCAATTTCTTATTTAAAAGAAGCCAAACCATATCTATCAATACTTTGAATACTATGGAACAAAATAAAAAAAACTAAGTAGCTTCAGGTTTTTATAACAATGGCTTTTGACTGTTCAAACCAAAAGATTACAATTCTACTTTTCACAGGTCTGTTCAAACTAAAACAATATCAATTAAAAAACTTCCAATTAAAATTTGACGAACCTCAACTAAAACATAGCCTCCTCAAAATTTTGCAACAGGCAGTAGAAAGAGTTGATTGAATCCTATGATACGAAACAATGAGAATAGTAATCATCAAATATGAAACTCGACCTGACCCTTTCTAATTCTATCAATCTAATTGTGATGTACCAATTCCCGTCTTTAAAGAAGCCAAACCATAACTATCTATGCTTTAGATACTACGGAACAAAATCAAATCTCTTACTTAAGTAGCTTCAGGGTTTTATAACAATGGCTTTTCACTGTTCAAACTAAAGCATTAGACTTCAACTTTTCACAGCTAACAAAAACATATTATGAATATGGCCTCTCTTAAAGGGTTTAATCACTAAAAAAATAAAAAACCCTAAAAAGCTTCAAGCTTCAACAACAATGGCAATTCAAAATTCCAAAAACTCCAATTAAATATCCAAATCCTGCAATTCACATCTCAATTTCACTAAATTCTCCGGTAAAAATAAAACTCAAAACTCAAAGATTCAATTATAAGCTAATGGACTCTCTTAAAGGGTTTTAATCACTACAAAATCAAAACCCTAAAAAAGCTTCAAGCTTTAACAACAATGGCAATTCAAAAATTCCAAAAACTCCAATTAAACATCCAAATCCTGCAATTCACATCTCAATTCCACTAAATTCTCCAAACACAATCACAAAACTCAAAACCCAACACAAAGATTCCTCAATCAATCAAATCGAATCAAACCACAAAACAAAAGAAAGAAGAATCGAGCAAAAACCTAGTTGTAGTAAAGCTCAAGACCCATGCCATCATGAATCTCATAGTCCTTAAGAGTGATATGATCCTTGTAGATGTTGTACCACTTCTGTATTCGGATCTTCTCCGCTCGTGTTCCGGTTTGCGCCGCCACAAGCTTCTTCAGATCACCGATCGTGTCATCTTCGTTGCACTTCACCCTCACTTTCTTACCTAAACGATCGTTGAGAACCACCTCGATCATCTTCTTCGCTCTTACAAAACCCTAATCTCCAAAATATCGAAGAATCTTCAGAAAAGTAAAGTGATGCGGGAGAGCTTTTCTAATGGTTGTTATGGGTCGTCGAGACTTTTATTTATAGACTTTTTTAACGTCGGTTTACCTTTTACATATTTACTAGGTAACTAGGGATGGACCCGCACGTACGTGCGGGGATGATTGCAAAATTTAAATTTATCATAAAGTTTGCAATATTCGGACCGACATGATAAGAAATCCGGATCGAGTGTGAATCAAATTAATGATAAGTTAGAAATCAATTAAATTTGCGAACTATTACATCACATAAAAACAATAGAAAACATTAAAACTTTTGAATAAAATAACATAAATATAGATGTCAAGAGAGTCAAACCCGTTCACTATACATGTCGTGCAACAAAGTAAAATATTTTGGACCACCCATATGAATAAGTAATATGTCTTCTTGAATGTTACCCATAATTCTCTCGGTATAATATTAGACTTATTTAAGATAATAATTTTTATTTTCTAAATTACCGTTATCTTTCCGTATCCGTTATTCTTGTCCCGATATTTGAAATATTTAAGTAATTTGAAACTTACTTTTGCTATTTAAATTTCATATTCCTGTATCATACCAGTCATTTGATATTTGAAAGTTGAAATTGAATTGAAGTTTCCAAATTTTGTATATCATCTTGTTTTTGATGAGAATTCATTTAGATACATTTTTTAATTACTCGTTCCTTTTTTGTACCCGTTCTTTCCCTCTAAGATAAGATCATATTTTTTTTATTATAAATGACATCATTTACATGTTTTCTGTTTTAAAAATAACATTATATAGCCTGTAATTAACTAATTAAATTACTCGTCCGTTCTCTTTTCATATCCGCTATTTCTTGTCCCGATATTTGAAAGTTTTAAGTAATTTGAAACTTACTTTTGCTATTTAAATTTCATATTCTTGTATCATACCTGTCATTTGATATTTGAATGATAAAATTGAATTTAAATTTCCAATTTTTTTTATATCATCTTGTTTTGATGAGAATAGTTAGACACTTTTTTTTAATTACCTGTTCCCTTTTTATACCCGTTATTTCCCTCTAAGATATGATCGTAATTTTTATATATAAATGAAATCAGTTACATGTGTTTTTTAAAAACAACATTATAAAGCTTGTACATAATTAACTAATTAAATTACCCGTTATCTTTCTGTATCCATTTTTTTTGTCCCGATATTTGAAATATTTAAGTAATTTAAAATTTACTTTTGCTATTTAAATTTCATATTCATGTATCATACCCGTCATTTGATATTTGAAATTTAAAATTCAATATAATTTTCCAAATTTTTTATATCGTCTTGTTTTTGATGAGAAATAGTTTTTTTTTTTTTTGAATTACCTGTTTCCTTTTTGTAACCCGTTCTTTCCCTCTAAAATAAAATCATATATTATATATATATATGAATGGCATCATTTACATGTTTTAAAAAAAAATAACATTATATAGCGTGTAATTAACAACATTAAAAACCAATACCGTTAATTATTAGGCTGTTGAAACATATAGGCAGTAATTAGAGTGTATTGTTATTTTTTGTGTTACCACAAATTTAAAGGAATGTAACCAAAGAGTCACATTTAAAAACTAAGAACTTATCTCGAACTAAATCATAAAAAAATGAATCAATTGAATAAAATATATATTAAATTTTTTAGTAAGTAGCTATGGTAAATATAGATTAAGTTATGGAAATTCAAATAAATATTTGCTTCCATTTTTAATCATAATTATTTGATCTTATTTATTTATTTGTAGCATACATTAACTTTTTATTTTTTTTTGGATTGTCAATGTTATATTATATGGAAATATAATAATCATGTGATATGATTTCTTGAAGTTTTCTAAAATTATTAAATACTAATTGCATATTAGTTAATATCCAGCAAGATTGAGGGTTAATATATTATTAAATTGATGCTAATAATTAGGAATGATTATTTGACTATTTTATTTTTGGTCACATACTATTTTTGGTTTTTATTTTATTTCAAGGAAATATATAAATATGTCATTTCTAATCAATATATCTCAAAAAGTGTTTTTGTTTTGCTATATTTGCGAGATTGTTTTTCAATATGAAGATTTTTAATGTGAAAGGAGATTGTATGTGATATAAAATATTTATTCTATTGATTTTTGAAAACAAATTTTCATTATTGATTTATTTAATATTTTTATTTAAACATTTTAAAAATTTTATTAAGATTTTATCATTTTTTTATTATATTATCAATTTTCTTGAATATTTCTCTCCATATTTTATGCTATTGTACAATATATAACATATTTATTTTTGTGTTTTAAATATATGATGATTTTCGTAAGGCAAAATAAATTTATTATCATATCATAAGAGATATACAAAATAAATGTAACATAAACCACTTGAATAAAACCATTAAACCAAATAAATAAAATACAATAAATTAGATTTTATTAAATATTAAATTATTGTATAAAAATATCTCAAAAAATAAATATGTTACATATGTAAATTTTCGAATTTAATTGTCCACTTTTTTGGCAACAAAATTAATATGATTTCCATAAATATAGGTTGTTTCTGTTTTTTTATTATTTATTTAATTTTTAAAAAGATTTTGCTATCATTAATTTTGTTTGGCAACTTGTTTAAGTTTCATGACATTTTTTAAAAAAATTGGGGGCTGTTTGGCTTCTTGTTGTGCTTCCCAATTAATAGTATAGATGTCCTGCGACTGCGCATATGCGCGGATTGTTGTATATTAAGTTTAGTTAATATATTTATAAAAAATAGAACAAATAAATTTCAGTGTTTGTGATATTTAAATGGGAAATTTACACAACTAACCTTTATTATGATACCCTTTTCTACAAATACCCTTTTTAGGTATTCATTTTTTTTTATTTTTTTTTATTTTTTTTATTTATTAATAAAACCCCTTAATGGGCTGGGCCCTTAACGGGCCGGTTTCGGATTACAAAAACGAACTCGGCTACCCAAGAAGGAAATCGGAGACTCGCCGGAAAGAAGGTCAGAAGATCGGATCTTGCTGTATAACCGGAGGCAGAGAATCAGAGCATTAGGATCGGCGAATTCGAGAAGCACGACGTTGCGGCAAGGTCGAGGGGATGAGGTACTCCGATGGGAGAATTCGAAACCCACCATTGAAACCAATCCGCCGACTCACCAACCTGCTACGCTCCTCCCGGAATACTCAACTGCCCGACAACCGGTTCCGAGAAGTCAGATCCCAAACCTAGCAATCCGACAACCGGGAATCTATCCCCTCCGACCAAACCAGAAGCCTCGACGTCCTCTGAGCCAAAACACACCAAACCGGACAAGTGGAAACCACAAACGGCGGATCCGGCAGTTGCTTGGCTCAAGCAAACAAACCAGAACCAAAACCCGCAGGGGCCAGCAGGAACCGAAGGACCTACCGTGAACCACCGAATCTGAACAGCGAACCCACCGAGTCTTCACTGACTTCCGCCGTAGCCACAACAACCAAAGGGAAGGTTGAGCCAGGGAGAGTCTCCGATACAACCGCCAGCGTCTTCAACCAGGGTCATGCGCAGCGGAGCTCTCCGCCGTCCGATTGGAGCCGCCGCTACATCAGTGAAAAAGACACCACACCACCGCCGTCGGAGGAAGAATCGCCCATCACCGAAGCTCAGTTATGCCAATCACCCACCATCGCTACGCTCTGCAAGAAAGAAAGACAAAGGGGGGGAGGGAGAAGCCACACACGCACCGGCGAAGCCAGCGGAGGTACTTCCCCCTCGAGCAGGTTTACGGCTAGGGTTGTGGAAGAGAGAGGAGAGAGCGTTTTGTTTTTGGGCCTCTCAAAGGCTTTCTTCAATTTCTTTAGATTTTATTATCACACATATTCGTCGCTAGGTGTTCATTTTTTAAAAATACTTTATTCAATATACAAAATGACTAAATTACCCTCCTTTATTATAACTCATGATGAAAAATGAATATTCTTTCCAACAAAAAGAATATTCCTTCCGAAAAATTTCCCGCCAAATTTTCCCGCCAAAAATTTTCGGCAAAAAATTTCCCGCCAAAAAAATCCGACAAAAAAATTTTCCCTCCAAAAAAATTTTCCCGCCAAAAATTTTCCCGCCAAAATTTTTCCGCAATTTCTTAAAAAAACCTTGTAAATATTTATAAATCACTTTAAAAACCCTTGTAAATCTTTTAAAAGTCATCCAAAATCTTTCAAAACTTGAGTAAACCTTTTAAAACCATTGTAAACCTTTTAAACCATTGTAAATCCCTTTAAAAAACCTTTAAAAACCCTTATATGCTTTTGGCGGGAAAGATTTTGGCGGGAATTTTTGGAAGGAATTTTCTTTCATTTGGGAAAGAATATTCTTTCAAATAGGGGTAAAATAGCCATTAAAAATTAAGAAAGGGCAAAAATGAAAATGGTAAAAAAAAAAAGGGTATTTTTAAAAGAGGGTATCATAAAAAGGTTACTGGTATCAATTTCTCTATTTAAATCATACAATAGAATTCATTCATATCTTTTTAATTTATTCGTTGATTAATTATTCAATTTTGATAGTAATTTTCTTTAGTACTTTTGAGTATTTTTTGATAAAAAAATAATATTGTTAATGATCAAAATAGAAATGATATTGAGAAAATTTAAAAAATACCTCTTTTCAAATACCACTTTTTAAATTTATCCTTTTTCAAAATTTATCAAAAAATCACTAAAAATGTTGAAATTTATCCAAATATGTGTGTAAGCTTATAAATATACATACACATCACCTTTGTTTGTGTACAAAATTTATTTATTTCAATGTCTTTCAAATTGGTATGGTAATTATATAATTGTTTTTTATTTTGTTACACTAATTACATACTTTTAAAAATAAAATAAATATACATCAATATGTGTAACGCCCGTGTTCTGGAAAATAATATGAGACTTGAGTGTCTATAAGAATTAGGGTGGAGTCGGTTTGATTCCGGTGGATTTTCAAAATTGGTCGATTTGTTTAATTGAACCAAAGGAGGTTTAATTAAAAGCGGTTTAGGTAAATCCTGGTTTAATCAGAACTAAACCAAAAACCCTAATTTTATAAAGAACGCTTCTTCTCTCTTTTGTTTTGTGGCTGTTGAGTTGAGAAAAGGAGAAGGAGAAGTTCACTTGTAAGAAGGAGAGGGTTAGCTTTGCTTTGATATTTAAGGCAAGAGAAGCAGATTCGTCACGTTTTGGTAGAATAGAGATCCGACGTATCAAATCTTATCGAAAGGTAACGAATTTTGGTAGGTTTGTTCTTAAGGCGTGGAAGTTGATTCTCCATTTTACAGATATGAATTCGGATTAATATTCAGTGAGTTACATGCAGTTTGGTGAGACGCCTTTTCTCTGTTGCGAATTGGAATCAGCGGAGTTTGGAAGTGCGATCGTGGTTTCATCGCTTCTCTGATCGGCACCAAATTTTTTGGGGCGATTCGTGACATCTGGGTCTTGCTTTTCACCGAAGGGATTACGAAGTTAACGGTTGGTTTCTGTTTTAGGGTTTCGTCTCTGTGGCTGTGGTTTTCTGATATTTCTGTCTATTTTGGTTCATAGAGATTTTGTTTGTGTGAATTGTTGTAGGGCGTTGTTTGGCTGTTGCAGTCGCGAGGAGAGTCTTTCCTGGTTGTTTTTGTTATTCAAATCACCTTGTTAAGGTGAATGCGTGACCATGAGCTTATCTAAGCGTTTGGGATTGAGTAACTTGTTTGTGATGATTTGTAGGTGAATTGGAAGTGTTATTGGATGTTTAGCTTGCTGAATGGTTTGTTTATGTTATATATGTGGGTGTTATCTCATAGCTTGTGTGTATAGCTCGTAGATGGGAGGATCGCTCTCACTGAGTATTTGTGATAATACTCACGCATCTCATTGTGTTTGTGGTGCAGGTAAATTGTGATCCGTGGAATCATGGCGAGGAGAGGAGGATGATCTAGGGTCTCGGTTATTATGTTTATGAATATGTTAATTGTTGTTGGAACCTGGTTTAGAGGCATGCTAGGTTGCTGGTGTAAATTGTGGTTATTGAATGATTGATTAATTAAAATAATATGATTAATTGATGTTGGTTTAATATGTTTCCGCTGTGCATGATGATTTATTGTTGGGTTAATTCGGTTAGATTAATTAGTAGGTATGAGACTATTAATTAATGAATTAAAAAAAAACGGGTCGGGTCTTTTCAATATGTGAGAAAGAAACAAACATCTAAAGTAAAAGAATGAAAATTGTTTTTTTTTTTTACTTGATTTTCTTATGGTGTGATGGTCGGAAATCAATATTTTTGAATCTTATCGATAAAGTAATTTTCTTATAGCCGTTAAAAATTATTATACATATGTATTATACACTTAACAGTAAAAGAAAACAATAAAGAAATGAAAAAGTACATAAAACAAAGAAAAAATAGAACTGAAAACAAAATTTTAAACCAAATATATAATCAAGCTCTTACAATGATATCTTAATCGATCTTTCAACCCATGCAAGAACATTAAAAAATAAAACAAAGAAAATATTAAGGGTATCAAATATGGTGGAGGAGGATGTAAGAATGGTATTTATAGGATAAAATATGATGTAATTTATATTTCTAAAATAATTAAATTAGAGGAGTTATAATTATAATTTATAGTGTGTTAATTGAAATTGAAGGAGGAAACAAATAGTCAGTTCCCAAATTATTTAATTTCAGTTACAGTTTAGTATTAAAGTGTGGATTTCAAGTATGAATTAAAGTATATGATTAAATGTGTTAGATATTTGATTTAATTAGAAATAAATATTATAATTAAAAATAAATGCTAAATGGACCAATAAGGAGAGAGTGAAACCTTAAAAATTCCCAAAAAATAATCTTATTTTTAAACTCTTTTTATATTCCTCTTAATTTAAGTTATATCTCTAGGTTTAATTATATTTTTCATCATTTTAGTATATATAATAGATAGAAAATTGAATATCAAATTGTTTTTTAGATAGGAAATCAAGTATAAAATTCAAAGTTGACAAAAATTATGATGTTCTTTATATTATTAAATAAATGTTGAATCACAAACTAAATATAAGGATAATTATTCTTAAAATAATGTCTTACAAATTGGTTTGATAATTATATAACAAAAATTTATTTTGTTAAAAATTACATACTTTTGAAATTAAAAAAATATACATGAATATGTGAGAAAGAAACAAACATTCGACGTAAAAGAATGAAGATGGTTTCGTTAGCTTGATTTTCATATTTTGCAATGGTCGGAATTCAATATGTTGAATCCCATCAATACATATGTATTACATTTGAAAACATATAAAAAAACAATGAAGAAATGAAAAATACTTATAAAAAAATCGAAAACAAAAGTTTAATTAAATATTTAATCAAACTCTTACAATGACATCTTAATTGAGTTTTCACCCCATGCAAGAACTTTTTTTTAAACAAAGAAAATAATGAAGACATGAGATATGGTAGAGGAGGATGTGAGAATGGCTATTTATAGGATAAGAAGTGATGTAAGTTACAATTTTAAATTAATTAAATTAGAGGAGTCATTATTATAGCTTATAGTGTGTTTAATTGAAATTCAATAAAGAAACCCAATAGTCTTTGAAAATTTATATAAATTTCAGTTATATTTTAGTAGTAAAGTGAATTCAAAGTATGAATTAATGTATATGATTAAATGTGTTTTTTGGTAAATAAATATTAATTAAAAAAATTAATATCAAATGGAGCAATAAAGAGAGAGTGAAACCTTACTTATATACTAGGGATGGACCCGCACGTACGTGCGGGGTTGATTTCTAAAACTAAGTTTATTATAAAATTTGTAATTTATGGATCGATATGATAAAAGACCCGGATCGAGTGTGAACCGGATTAATGATAAGTTAGAAATCAATTAAATTCGTGAACTATAACACCAGATAAAAACAATGAAAAACAGAAATCATTTGAATTTTATGGACCTAAATATATATATTAAGAGACTCAAATACGTTCAGTATGCATGTCCTGAAACGAATTGAAATATTTTGACCCACCGACAAAAATAAATAATTTGTCTTTTGATAGCCAACAAAAAAAATAGGATTAACTCAGCTGAGCCAATTGGGAGGACAGTTGTTTACATACTTAACCGTATGCGGATAGGAACGAACTTGTCTTGCTAGAAAGTCCATAATTTCCTTCTGTATATTATTAGAAATAGTTAAGATAATAAGTATTATTTTCTAAATTATCTGTTCTCTTTCTGTATTCGTTATTTTTTGTCCCGATATTTGAAATATTTAGAAAATTTGAAACTTAAATTTGTTATTTAAATTTCATATACATGTATCATACCCGTCATTTGTTATTTGAAATTTGAAATTGAATTTAAGTTTTCAAAAAAAAAAAATTATTGTCTTGTTTTTGATGAGAAATAGTTTAGATAATTTTTTTTTTTACTTTTTAAATTACCCGTCCCCTTTTTCTTTTTTCCCTATAAGATAAGATCATATATTTTTTATATAAATGACACCATTTACATGTTTGTTGAAAACAACATTACG